TACCTCTCACAGTTACATATACATCCGCGCCAACAAGAATAATTGATATCAATTGAAATAACTGTTTCGCGTTTGTTGAAAAATAATAAATAAATATTAATTGAACACATAAGAATACAACTTAACATAATTATCTACATGATTGTTTTCTTGTTAACATATAACAGCGTTACCTGACTTTGATCTGACCTCTTACATACATATCTACATCTTCAAACCCTGACTACACAGTCCATTTTCATGACCGTAAGACTTGAGACAGGTAAAACTGTCATATCACACATGGACAGGACATACTTTAAGCATCGTTTGTTCTATCAATGCTTTTTATACAATCAATAATACTCATTTATATTGACTGATTGATCTCGGCAGTCTCTAGATGACAAACACTTTCATAGCATTATGGTGTCAAAGTAGTGATATTTAGAATTTTCATAGACATCCATTGTTCAATATGTGAATTATTGATCACTAATTAAATAAGCCCACAAGTAATCGACAACGCTGAGTACTGTAATCATTATAGTTTACCTTATCATTATTTCAACACCTACCATTAATAAGTACACGTGTTTGCGAGTTGTACAATAGGAAAAAATATCGGCATAGACAGTGTAGTGGCACGTGCTTCAAAACAGCTATTTCCGAATAGTGTTTTTTCCTTTTCTGGTTAATTTTCACTCTATAAAACATCCACGCGAAGGGCGTCTCGTGTAAAACGCTCACCATTGTTCATGATGTTTAGTTAGAGATACCTCATAAATTAGAGTGTTGACTCGAGGTGAAGTGCTTTCACCTAAAACAAACTTGTCATTACAATCTACAGTCGCTGGTAACACGCTGATTATCATCACACTGACCACGCGTGTTTCAAACATGTCGTGCGACGCGCATATACCATATCGATATCACTTTAGCAGCATATCACTTACCACTCATTAACAAAGTCAGGATGATGTTTGTCATCGTAGGTCTTTGTTTTCCTTTACGTTAAAAGGAAAACACTTCCTATCAGAATACAGACATTCTGTAGATGTTTACTGTTTCAAATACATTCTTTTATAATTACCTCTTTTAAGAACATGTTTTATCTGCGTTTTAAGAAGGTATTACATAGTCGAATCATCGTGTAGATATTTTGTACATTTGTGTGATTTCTTTAAAGCATATCTCATCTTTTCTTCAGAACTGTCTTGTTCTAGCGTACTTATCGTATCAGATACTCTACAGTGACAAGAGTACGAGCATATCCTAGGGTAACTATCTCTGTCAGACATATTTAGATAATGAGTCATCATGTATATCTATCAATTCCATAAAAGTGTCAATACTACATAAGCATTAAAGTTTATAACGATAAATATATTTATGTCTGTTGTATATATATATATATATATATATTATGTACATACAGAGGATCTTAAATGAATTTTCATTGCATATAGGATTTCAAAAACAAGTCTTTCAGGTTTTATTTTTCCGATCCTTTGCGAGAAAAAAAAATCAAAAGTTCCAGACTAGTTTCATAATAAATCTTCTGAAATGAAAGCCCATTAAAAGTGCTTTTGATCACACAGCCCAGAAAATATATGTACGTTTTGACAAGATTTAAAGTCTAAGGTGGAAATCAAACGGAGGCGGTTTTAATTGCGTCATTTTGAATCAATGATGTAACGTTGTTGTTGTGACATCACAGTCGATTTCTGCTGTAGCCAATGAAAAACGCTCCAGCGTACCAGGTATACTAAAACAGTGACGTATACAGATAACGACTGATTATGTGATAAATTATGTTCCATAGAGAGCTTTTGACACGATTCTATTCTAAATTGACAGTTCTACAGCTTGATAGGTCTGCATGACACTGTTCATGGACGCAGATTAAGCGAAATATCAGAAAATTATTATGATATCATCCAAAACAATCTGCTTAGAGTACGCAATTACTGTCTACAAAGAATAGTTTTCAAACAATAACATGGTATTTTTACCCTATAGAATACCGTTCTGTACACAATTTGACGTACATTACATTTAGGTAAGCACTGCGTTTCTACAGCTAAAATATTTTCAATCGCAGTAATAAAAGATAAAATATCACAAGTATAAATTGATAATGTAACATTAAATTAATCAAACATTGACAATTTAAACCATGTATCACATAACTGATCTATTGTGCCATGTCACGTGCCCATACCATATATATATGTGACGTCAAAAAATAAGTCACGTCTTTATGACGTTACATCAATGTCTCGGTATATAAAACTAGCAATGAATATAGGGGACTTTGTAACAATTAGATCATATTGATGACATCAACCCCAAGCATGTGTAGAATTGCATTTTAACAAGAAGGAATACTGACATGCAAATTGATATTGATAAACGTAGGTAAACTCTGAAAAAATGAAAAACTCGCACAATGTCTCATGGAAAGAGAGAATACTTTTCCTACTCTCTCAACGACACCCGCGTTGTAAATGTTTGTTATTCTCAGAAAGCCCTTTAATGAGAAGTGCGCATAAAACATCGTTACCTCAGCGATATTAGCTTTCTAATGAACATTGACCACATCTAACTCACATACAAGGGAACGGTATTTTCTTTGGAGTTCTAGCAAATACCATTGATTCTTCTTCTTGAATAAGATATTACAGTAAGACTTTAATCCTCATTTCGTAGTGCTGAAATGATAACAAGAAGCTTGGGAAAAGTTTGGTCGAACAACTAGAAGAGCCAGCAATAGAACAGTGTTTATATTGATTCTTTTAAAGTTGATGAATCCAATATAACCAAGGTCAAATCCGTATCCTCATTTTTAACTGACAACCTGTATGATTGCTATACAAAATCATTATTAACTCGTAGTTTTTTTTAAGAAAGATTGAATAATGTGCATGTACGGTTTCCTTGTTATTGAGAAAACATGTTTTTTTAAGTAGGAAATGTAAGAGTGATTCCATATTGTGATTACGTTATTACATGCTGTGTCTGAAGACAGTCATATATTTATCAAACAAATCAATAACGATCAAATAATAAAATATTTTAAAAGTATGCCCATAAACCTAATAAACAATTCTCAGAAAGTTTCTCTAATTTAAGTAAATTGATATACACATAAAAAGACACTGGTAGAAGACGTTATTCAACATAGTCCACTCCCTTGGCTACCTGCCAGGCTTGGTACCCATCACAAACAATATCATTGTACCCGACCTCTTTAATGGCAATATATTTTGAATTCAGTAGCAGCAGTATTTGTGATGGGATGACAATGAGATTTCTTACGCGAGTGAAAGAGTACTAATTAACTCCTGACAGAAAAGGTCGCGCGTTTACACCACGTGATACTGTAGATACAGCATTGTGACACGTGTATCCTGTTATCACCATGAACATAATAACTTTTTCTTTAATAATGCAATAGTTATTGAATGTGGTCGAGATTGATTATCAATCTAATGACTGTATAGAACAAGTACACACATTCAAGAAGTTCTTATCGGTGTGATCATCTTCATATGCCATTACAAACACGTGTTTTCTGTCAGACTTTGCTCCAAATGGAGCTCTAAAATCCAATGATTCGAAGTGCTGCCAAGACCTGACCAGGAAGACCAGATCTGAACACCTCTTTATTGCGTAAAGGGAAAACTCAAGTAAGACAATAACTGAATTTATCTTGGATATACGTCCTACAGCATCAAATGTTGTTTGTTAAGATGTCAATAACTAAAATAACGAATTCTAACAGACAAACACATTGAGAGAAAACATTATAACATTGAGCGCTGTAATAAATGGTATTCTATGGGTTTTTTTGTTTGGATTTTCTCGTTGTTCAGTTTTCAGGCGATGGCGGTTAATGCCATGATATGTTATCATTAAGAAAAAAGAATATTACGTTTCGATTTTTGGAGAGTTAGATCATTTTCCTAACTGTAAAATAAAAAGTAAATATAAATGATAAATATGGAGGATGTGCATGTGTACAGATGTCGTATGATAAATCCATTCATATTTTAACAAAAGGCTGAATTAGTATGCGATGTTACTATGTAATAGGAATGTATGAATTAAAAACGCGATGAATCATTGCTTTAAAGTTGTCATCAATCTTCATTCGGTTGTCCTTTTTGAACAAATATATTAATTACATACCAGCATTTATCTCTTATGACAGGAAACCTATTCAACTTTCCATTATAAAAATAATTTCATAAGATTTACGCTGTAAAGGTGTAATTGAGCACATGTGATAATTAATAGGTTATTCAGGTGATACGTCAATCATAGTCTTGCAACGTAATGGGATCACGCAATCAAGTTTGCCAAATATACAGTTATATACATAGAAAGTGCAAATGCATTGTCAGTTGAACCTGTTTCAATTGAGGTGTGAAAATGACAAATGACTGATTTTGAACTGTCGTCAAAATAAATGTTTTATAACAGGACTAAACCATCATACACAAACTTCGTCCTGTTCTAGTTTATGGCATCGTTTATGATAATGAATTTATGCCATGAAAATGTATTTTCATTCTAATACTAAAGATTTACAGAGTTTTTTTCTCAGTTCCATCTGTCATTATTTATTTCTATCTGGGGATAATACTATCATTGTTTGTTTTTTGTGTGATTATATTCGAAATAAAGTTGTACTGCGTTGAATACTTATTTGTGCAAAAATACAAAGACGATTTCTAGATTATACAGACTGACGCTATTGAGTCACGAATCTGTCATCGTCCACAGATAAAGTTCTTTTCTTATCAAATAACATACTTTAATATTAGTATATCATACAGAATAGATCATACTTTTTTCTTTTCTGACAATAACATAAACGTTTATCTGTTATCATTTCGCTGTGGTTTACACTAATGGTCATTTAACTTAATTTCTTCCACTGGAGAGGTTCTGCATTCATACTTCACCTTTTATTGTGTATTTCAAACAAATGTTAGGTAGACACGCTAAGCTTCTTAGGATATGTACCGGGGATGGGTATTGGGATGGCACTGGAAATGGGTACCGGAGACGGGTACTGGGTACGGGTACTGAGGATGGGAACTGGGGAAGGGTACCGGGTACGAGTACTGGGGAATGGTACTTATGATGGGTACTTGGTACGGGTACTGAGGATGGGTAATGGGTACGAGTACTGAGGATGGATACCGGGGACGGGTACTGCAGACGAGTACTGGGTACGGGTACTTAGGATGGGTCCTGGGTACGAGTACTGAGGATGGATACCGGGGACGGGTACTGTAGACGAGAACTGGGTACGGGTACTTAGGATGGGTATTGGGTACGGGTATTGAGGATGGGCACTGTAGACGAGTACTGGGTACGGGTACTGAGGATGGGTACTGGGTACGGGTCCTGAGAATGGGTACTAGGTACGGGTACTGAGGATGGGTACTGGGTACAGATACTGAGGATGAATACCGGGTACGGGTATTGAGGACGGGTACTGAGGATGGGTATTGGGTACAGGTACTAGGGATCGGTACCGGGAAAGGGTACTGGGTACGGGTACTGAGGACGGGTACCGGGGAAGGGTACTGGCTACGGGTACTGAGGACGGGTACAGGGAAATGGTACTGGGTACGGGTACTGAGGACGGGTACCGGGGAAGGGTACTGAGGATGGGTACCGGGAATGGGTACCGGGAATGGGTACCGTGAATGGGTACTGGAACTTCTTATTAAATGTTCATTGTATGCCATTTACTGTAATGAACATATTCTTGTCGGTAATCCTTCGAAAGTTGGGTTCCCTTATTGATTCACGAAAATTCAGTATACTACCAGGTAAGCTTACTAAATGGCTACTTCAATTTTCAAATGAGTGATAATTATATATCATGTGGTTTACCTATCATTTAAGTTCTAAGATTTAAAACACTATTTATGCCGTTAAGCTAATTTTCACATGCATTTGAGGTACGTGTTATTCCTACATATCACTTCTACTTGTTATTGCAAAGGTAATTAAAATGCTCTCTCAAACGTGAATCCAGGTGTTCATGAATACGATCTATAGAATAAAGCCATATACAGATGACTTTACAGGTTGATCGAAAGAAAGTTTTAACATAATGATAACTTCTTACCACAAAAATGTATTATCATACGAATGATAATAATTATTTTGAAACCTAAACAGAATTGTTATTTTCAGTACAGTATTTGGTTGTTTGTTTTTCGAATGACCAACAAAATCATGATGTTTTACAGCTTTCATGTGACAATGAATTGTTTTTGGAAAGGAAATTACAGAAGACAATAAACTTATACAACAATACCTTGCATGTATATGCTGTATTTATGATTTGCATGTAAAAGTCAATACTGTATGACTAATTGGTTAGACTATGTATATCGGATGTTTTCGCTGTTATGTACTTTTATAGGGTATTGTATTGTCCCATTATTCTATAATATTTATGTGTATTGACACACTCTGCATGACTGAGCTAATTAAGATGATAATCACTATAGGGGACTGTGTAACAGACAGACAACATCTGAACGCTCCATTTATCAAACACTAGCTAGAGACAAATATTCATAAATCTTAACAATTCTATATATCGACCAATAAGAATTGTCGATACATCTGCGTCACGAGGAGTTAGGCTGGAGATCGTTTTACAAGATATAATTGTTAAATATCGATTAATGTCTTCTGTTTATCATCAAGTCACATTCAACACGTTTTGTGATTTTAGTATTTTTTGTGAAGAGGGTGTTAGCATTATGCGTAGTATTAGAACCAGCTATATGACCGATAAAACTTCGCTGTGAGTTTACACAAGGGGCTCTAATAGAGTTATGATCTAGTTTGATTTGAAATCTTGATGGTCAACCCGATCATTTCATTGGGAAATGATGAAATAAGACATGTTCATTGCTTGTTTCTATTGCTACCTATGCGGTTCCGTTTTTGAGAACGTGACATTTCACGGATTTACATATTCATTAATATTCTGATATCCCACTTTGACCATTTTGGGAAGAGAACATTTAATCTTTGTCTGTTATAAAGTCAAATCGACTTGGAAATTGTGTCAATAAGATTTGCTGAAATGAAATGTATAAGGTGCAGGAAACTAAAGACTTGCCGGCAGTATTATATTATTATTATACGACAAATAAATTTAAGGAAAAACCACATGTATTAACTGTTTCCCGTGCGTCCATATTTTCACCCTATCATCCCAATTTTTGTCAACATATTTGAGTAGATATTAAAATGAATCAATAAATAATTCGTCCCGAATTTACTCATGTATCATTTGCTAATGAATCCTAAAATACCAGTACCCTATGGCGAACATACACACCGATGTCAATATTTCTGTTATTATGGTTGGTATATTAAAAAACTTCATGTTTGGAAAGTCGTCAATTCAAGCCGAGACAACTGCACAGCCGACCTTGTTGCGCGCGACAACTGTCAAAATAAAAACCGATTCCTGAAAAGTTTGCATACTTCATTTTTGTCTTTATTGACGAATTTTACAAAATACGAAGTAAACCGAAATATTGGTCTACATTTTGCCCGTAATGCTGAGTCAATGGGCCAATCAATGCAAAAATGGGTTAAATATCTCATGTGTTTAGTCTATTGTAGATTCAGTGTAGAAGATGTTCAGATTTTATCATATAGAGCGACACCACACGAATATTATAAGTATTTCTTATCTTAGTAAGATGTTCCGAACATAGGTTCCTACTTCCTTCGATATCCATATGCAAATATCCATGACATGTTTCTACTAAGATTACAAGAACCTTAAGTCATTGAAAATTATTCAAAATTAAACAGCAAAAAAAAAAAAAAACTGCATTTGTGTTCAAGCACTGGTTAGGTGAGTCTACCGTGTGCTGTATATTACCTTGTCTGTCTGTCCATCTGTCCGGAAGAAACTCGACGTATGATAGCGCAGGAAACACTAACATTTAAAAAAAAATCAAACTTCATAGATGTTCCGACAGATTGTTATACACACATGAGTCACTTAAACATACCTGACACATCGTTATATACCATATCTTAATTTAAAGACAGTGTCAAAAGCAAGCAAACACTGAAAAAAACTCTAACTGCCTGTCCTTATTTTTTAGGCAGGATCCGGAAACAGATTTTTTTCCCTTTTAAGTGGGACATTAACCAGTAAAGTAATCGTCTACATACTATAACACATGACATGATCTCAAGACGACATAAAGCAAGTCTCGAAAACTAAGTGAATGTCTCCCTATATAAAACTGTCATAACAATTATACTGCCCACAAAATTCTATAATCCCGTCAGACTAGATCTTTGTCAATTATCAAGTGATGATTTTTACGCCAAGCAACGTCTGTGCTAAATCGCACCATGACATTAATGTGTATTCAATATTAGCAAAATGTCCGTTTGATATCTAATTTTAGAGTAACTGCAGGAATGGAATATCACATATAAGATTATTCAAATCTATGTCATTAAAAAGACTGTACAACAGACACACATGTGAATAGCGCAATTTCATAATTTAGAGTAAGATACAGGAGAGCCAAACAATGACTTAAACTGCATCGTACAGGTATTTCGTCCTTCTAGGACTCGTCAGTGACGCTACATCATACAGGTGTTTCGTCCTTCTAGGACTCGTCAGTGACGCTACATCATACAGGTGTTTCGTCCTTCTAGGACTCGTCAGTGACGCTACATCATACAGGTGTTTCGTCCTTCTAGGACTCGTCAGTGACGCTACATCATACAGGTGTTTCGTCCTTCTAGGACTCGTCAGTGACGCTAAGGCCATAAATTTGAAGCCAGGGAGGCGTTGAGGAAAATCCAAAGTGATTAAAAGAAAAGTCAAAATCTAGACGGGGAGGTGCAGCACCTTATAATTCGATGAATTAAGTAATTTTCATACATAAGATCATTTTATAATAGCATCAAGTACGTGTGTATTTTCTGAACCGTGCCACTATCGAATTTAAACGTGTCAAGCAAGTTACGGCAAACCTCGGGGTCTTAAAGTCCATCAGCAATGTCTAACACCTGCTATCTTAAAAAACAGTGTTTCTATCCATCCAAAATAGAAGCGAACGATAGGAAGATTAAAAAACACATTGCCATGTAAAATATAACCAAACCACCAGGCTGCATAGTACTTAGGGGCATCGAAAACTTTATAATACACAGGGAAGAGAATGTTTCCATCATGGTGGTGACCATAAAACTTCTCATAACCTTCATCAACCTGCATCTCTCGAATCATCATGTGATAGCTGATCGGGCAGCTGTTGACATCCTTCACGAGAATATCAACACCATAGGTGAATTTGAATTTATCAAAGAGCTTATCAAAACAAATCACAATATCTCAATTTCAATATATTAATGACGTCTTTTAATAGAAATGTATTGATCTCGTTCATCGAATATAGCCATCGGAATAAGAAACCAAGGACACGTCAGACTCTTCTACATCAGCCGCTTATCTCGAAATTTTGCTGCAACAAAATCAACATGGACAACTTTCTATCAAGCTGTATAATATGAGTGATGATTTCAGTTCCCCAATTCGAAAAATCTGGATTTCAACATCCTGCATCTCCAACCTCTGGTGTTCGCTTACCGAAGTTGATTCGACCTCCCTTGCCTGTTCCCAATATTGCAATTTTCGTGCAGGATGTTGGTAACTTACAATACAAGGTTCCGAGAGACGCAAATTGCTGAAAATTAGGGAGAATTTTTACAGTCACCATAATGATCTCATTGAGAAATATTCTTTTGTACGATATGAAGCTGGAGGTGTTTAAAGCCCTTCAGTATGCCTGTTGGTTCCGTTGTTGTTTATATTGTTCTTATTTGGGAACGTGACATTGCTTACTGTGATGGGCCTATATTTATATGGCCAGTGTGGTCGATGAAACAGCGGACGCTTACTCTTTCGGAACACTCGTTCTTATTACATTTATTATACTTTTTCATGAGTCTCCGTTTTAATCTCTCTTTTTTTATATTCCGTAGTTTCATCTAAATCGCGTTTTAAAATGATTTTTTGAGATATTGGTAATTTCCTTTTTATTCTGTTATTTAACTACACAAAATTTCATTATTATATTTCAGTATTTGTTATATCTATTAAATAGTGCAATGGAAATAATTGCATTTCTAAATGCTGAAATTAATAAACTTCAGTAACCGACAAGCGATAAGAGTAAAGCGACAACCTTTATAAATGCCGTGTCTCCCCGCTGTAGCCCCTCTATCGACCCCTAGTCACATGTGGACTAATACTGCTATCAGAAACACGACATCGCATCAGTTTAAGTTAGATAAGATATCAAAGTTTGTTGATATCACGCAATCTTCCAATTGATGTAGCAGTGACTTTGTTTTACAGACATAAATTATGTCAATGTACAACGGTCTTCTGGGTTCCAAAAACAACAGAGTAGGCACATTTGAAAAAAAAAAAACCCAAATGTCTGCTACCTATTGACCTCTCCTAGTTTTCCGCATCTGGAAAGTAGACAGACGATCTTAAAGTATGAACGATTTTTATTCTCTATTTAGGAGCAATAACGTTAGAATTATTCAATATTTGGCTACACATAACTTCTAAAATTGGCACCAGTAAAGTATACACATAATGAATAGAAAACATTTCGTGTAAATAGAAAGATGTACAATAAATTTCGCCGCTTTTAGACACATGTAC